CTGTAGTTCGTGTTGTGCTTCATCCTGGTGTGGTTTTCCTGCAGTTTTTGTGAGAGTTTTTCTGGTGGGCACTGGTTGTTGTGCTAAGGAGCTCTGTGGCTGTGGCTACAGGTGACTTGCCCAGCTCTGTGTCACCGTGTGGCCGTGGTTTTGGTAGCTGTAACTCTGGCCTCACAGGGTGTGCAAACATCCCAGGCTGCAGCTGGCCCGGGAGGGTTTGAGGCAGAGCTCCAGGAGAGACATGGAGCTCCTGGGCAGGGTACAGCGCAGGGAGGTTTGAGGGGATCAAGGGACTGGAGCAGCTCTGATGAGGAATGGCTGAGGGAGCTGGGCCTGCTCAGCCTCAGAGGGGAGAGGACTGAGAGGGGACCTCAGCAGTTTCTATAAGTAGCACAAGGGAGGTGCCAGAAGATGGACAAATGCAAAGGGCAGAAACTGATGCACGGGAAGCTCCACCTGACCTGGGTGTCCATGCACTGGAACAGACTGACCAGGGAGGCTGTGCAATCTCCCTGGCTGGAGTTATTCAAGAACTGTCTGAGTGCAGTCCTGTGCCACGTGCTCTAGAATGACTGAGAATGCTTGAGCAGGGAGGTGCCCAGATCACCCACTCTGGTCCCTTTTGATGTGACATATTCTGTGATTCTGTAATGGAGTGCATTTGCACCTGGTTTGGAATTTGGAAAAACTTCTGTTTGGGACTGTCAACTTCTGTGCCTAGATATGCTCCATGTAAACTAACAGCTGATGCCTTGAGGTGTCAGACATGCAGTGTTTCTGGGTACAATAGCAATATCAAAAGTGGTCCCAAACTGGACATACTTTTCCTTGCACTGTGAGGTTACAGTTTCAGTGTTGGGGGAATGCACTCATTGGAGGAGCTCAAAACAAAGAGGAAAGCTTTTAATTTTAAAATTTCTGTTATATCATCTCATTGTATCTTCACTGAAGAAAGAAAAAGAAATTTAAAGCCATGACTCTCTCTGTACCTTGATTCATGTATTGTTCATGAAACTTAGTAGCATAAATGACTGATTTTTCCTTTAGTCCTGTTATTCCTTATTGAACTGTGATGTTCAGGATCCTAATCCTCAGTTTGGAAATGTTGCTGCTTAAAGATCTCCTTCATGAATGACCAGATATTTTCCATCCTTGCTACGTGCTGCCATGCAGTTGGCTATGCCCAATATTCCTAGCTGGGAGACAGTCCCAGAGCAGATCCCCAGTGCTCAGAGCAGCACGTGCTGGCTGGAATGGTTCACTAAAGGCTGTGCATTCTTTGGCCTCTGTTCAGCAGGGAAGAATGGGTTTTGTATGGCTGGTTTTTAAACAGGGTAGCAGCCTTGCCAGTGAATCTCTTCTGCACTGCATTAAAGGCTCACTGCTGCAGGGATGTGATGGAAAGCAGTTTGCAAAGTTGTGTCTTGTTTCTGGTTTGCTTACCAGATTGAAAGAAAACACCACAACTAGAAAAGCTGCTGAAGCAGGAACAATCGATACTTGGGCTATTTTTAATCTTCTTCTCGATGTTGCAAGTTTTCATTCATTATCAAGTAATGAATGTAAATAAAAAGCCTGTGCACATGAGTTCATTCTGCAGTTTATAAACAGATCTTTCTCTTTTGATCTGCACAGATCTGGCGGCCGATAACGGCAACTTTCTTCTTCCCAGTGGGACCTGGAACGGGATTTCTCTACTTGGTGAATTTGTATTTCTTGTATCAATATTCCTCACGACTAGAAACAGGTATGTTGGCCATTAAATTGTATGCACCTGCTGAACCCTGCCTGGAGCTGATAAGAGATGGCTCCTCTCTGTGCCAGCTTATGTGGGTCAGCATGAAACTGCTGTGAAAACTGATTTTCTGTGGCTGCCTCCTTCCCTTTGGCCATTTAGGATCTGAACTTTTTATTAGTTTCAGTAGGAGGGCCTGGTGCTTTTAGTTGTTGGATTTAAGGAAGCAAGTTAGACAGATTAAAAGATGATGTTTACCTCTGTTATTTTGTATCTGATGTTTTTTATCAGAGAAGGATGATAGAGCATAATGTAATAAGGGGCTTATCCATTGGGAGAAAATAACGTCAGTTTGTTCTTGTTTTAATAGGGATGCTTATTTGTGTTATTCTTTTGTCTGTGTTGAATTGAGAGATACCTCCTTCAAAGGAAGCCTACCCCTCTGCCTAACAGATAAGTGGAAAAGTTAAGAGACTAGAAGGATTTTCAGTTAAGGGGAAAAATTAAGTGAAAAAAAAGGAGATCAGATAATAGATCATTTCTCTCAAACAAAGGGCTTGTTGGTACAAGGTAGCTTCAAAACTGGTTTCCTTTTGCATTGCCCAGTTTATTAAAACTTGACAAAAATTGGTTCAACTGACATAAATATATTTGCAAAGCCAGACTCCTCCTGAAAGCCTTTGTGAACAAGAATTTCAGTGTCATTCCAATGGAGTCTAGAACTGATGGTGTAAAGGGGAATGCATTGGGAAGTGATGTTGGGAAGTCCCATGAGAGAGGAGATCCCTGGAACACCTGCCCTCCAGAGAGTATTGTGGAATCACATTTAAGACTTAAGAAGAGTGGAAGGGAAAGGCAGGAGTGGTGCCAAATTGTATTTGGTTGTTTCTTAGTGAAAGTTAAATACTGGTTTAATAACTAGGAATGATTCCTACTTCCTTTTGAGCCTGTCTGCAGGGGTTTATGAGCACATGAGAGTGCTCACAGTTCTGACTGGGCAAAGGTAGGTGTAGTAGGAGTTCCTGGTTAATTATGCAAATTAAGAGATCTCACTGCTTGTAGATATACTCACAGAATGCTCTGGTTGTTTGTGCTGTGGCACAGATCTCATGAAAGGGGGTAAATTTCTGCTGTACAACAGATCTGGATTTTGAAACTGGGAAGTCATCTGTGTTGTTTGAACCAATGCATTTCTTTTATATTCCAGTCATTTTTTCTGCCTATAAATGAAATCCTTGGTTAGGTTGGCCCTTTCTCTGAGAAAGGCCTGAATCCTTCTGTAGTTGGAAAATATATAAGTTGCTGATAGTATTTACAGGTGGAAGTTTGCATTGGTCTGTGCCTCCTTTTGTCTGTGAAACTGAGAAAGTGAAACTGCTATTTTCAGCATTGTGCATGGGTTTTGAGCATACACTGCTGCTGCCTGCCAGCTTCAAATTTAGCTGTCAGAAATACCAGTATGGTTTTGTGCTGTGCTTGTGCTTTCCTAACAGCCTGACCTGTGACTTCCAAAGGAAAGGGAGATTGGTGTGGTTTTGTTTTGCTTTGGTTGGAGGAGAGCATGGGAAATATCAACAGAGTAAGCAGAATGTGCAGAGTTCCCTCCCCAGCTGTGTGAATGATGAGATTTATGTGAATTAAGGGTCTGCAGCTCTTCCAGATGATTGCATTATACCCTGGGCCTCATGGAAGGACCTGTGGGGTAGAGCTCACCCCAAACCTGTGCTGAGCTCTCTGGCAGTTTGTAATCCAATTCCCTTAGATGTTCATGGAAAAGTCAACTTCAGTGGTTTGTCTAATACTCTCATTAGCATTCCCATAGATAATGAGAAGGGAAAAAATTGAGAAGAAGAATAATAACAGCTTTGATTTCTTCCAGTTTTGGAAGGATTCCTGAGCTGGCCTTTCTACAGCCTTAGTCAGCTTCTTCTCTTTATTTGTTTTTATTTGTTGTGTGGCAACAGTAAGGAAGAAACCTTCAGTTTCTGTAGTTTTACAACATTAAAACTTTCTGATATATTTTTCAAAGTACTTTTTTTTCCTGTCATGCATTTTGCATAACTGAACTTAAACAATAAACTTAATGAACTTAAACAATAAAACTGGTATTTTAGTAATTATGTTTTGCATAGGCTATTCTAATGCTTAAAAGTAGGTTTTTTTCCTTTAAGAATACTTCTATGAAGCTGAGCAGTGCTCACATTGAGCAGTGACATTCTTTCTAGGCATTTGGATGTTTAATTAGGAGCATGTAATTCAGGTTGTTTGTGATGTGCTGTGTGTGTCACTGTCATTCCCACTGTCACTGTTTCACCCTCCATGGTCTGGGTCTTTCTCAGCAATATTCTCAGGCTTTCCTTTCCTGCCTGGGTTTATATGAAAGTTGATGGAATTCTTGCATAGATGCTGAGGTCTCTGTCAGCCTTTTGCCACAGTTAGTGGGAGTGAGAGCCTCAGCTTTTCATGTTTGCAAGGAATTGCTACAGGGTTGTTTTTTAGTACTTGTCTCTGTCAGGTCTCAAACTCAACTGAGCATCTAAAGATCATTTCACTTTATATGACCTGCAGGGAATGTTACTCTATTATTTTTGTTTACAGTGTCCTGAAAAAATTGACACAAATTTGGAATGGTGAATTAGACAAGCAGCACAGCTTAGAGGGAACAGAGTGTGCTGCACATGTGTACCCTCCTTGTCATGTGTGCTGATTTTTTCTGGAGTATAAAAACCATTGCATCTCTTGAGTCTGATGAGATGATGCAAAGAGGATGCAATTTGCCTAAGTGAGGGCTGGTTTTCACATGACTCACTCATTAAACTTGGTATTTCTGCTTTTGCTGTGCACGTGTATTTCCTAATTCTGTGCTTCTAACCCGCAGTTTCATATGAACAATGGGGTCCAACTCCATTTTTGAAGTCTTATGTAGTTAACACTACTTATCTCCAGAGTCAGTGTGTTCTTTTTTAAGTATAGACACTGCTTGTGCTCTAATGCAGTAGGCTGAATGTCTTATTTTTCAGCCTGTAGGTTGTTCTATTTTAAGGCTTTTTAAAATTTAAAAAATACTCATAGACCACAGAGTACATGCAAAGCAGCTGTTATTAACTGAGCTTTCTTATACTCTGAAAAATAAAAGTTGTCCTAATTTTTAATCAAAATTGTAGTGCCTTTGATGATTCAAAATTATTCTTTTTATTTTCAGGGGCTTTTGATGGAAGGCCAGCAGATTACATGTTCATGCTCCTGTTTAACTGGATCTGCATTGTTGTATCCTTCTCATCACCAAACTTTGAGAAATATTTTGGTTCTCTTGTTTCCACCTGAAGTATGTTCAAAGACCAGGACCTGTTTTATCAAGGAACAGTTTTAAAAAGTAGCAAATGTTCCCCTTGGAGTTTGTAGAGTTTGTGAGTGTGTAACCTTCCTGCAGAGGTAGTGAATGGCTTGCAGGGAGAACATTTGACATGCTCACAAGTGTGAGCATGTGGGGACCTGAGCTCTGCCTCCACTGAGCTGAGCCCGTGCTGGGTGAGTGTCCCTGCTGCTCTCTTGGGTGGGCTGGCACTGAATTCAGTGTGTTCAGGCTGCCATGTGCAAAACGGGGCTGATCTCTGCCATTCCCTGAAATGGAGAGATCCTTTACCTGCTGGGTACAAGTATCTGAGTCTGTGAAAGCAGTGTTGTGGTATCTTCACTGAGACAGCTTCCTGAAGAAGCTGGGCTTGTTGGTTTGGGAATGCTGGGAAACATTTCTGTGGGCTGAGCTGTTGCACCTGAATTTTCTTTTAGATCTCGAATACAAAAGTGGGAGGAGTTGTTGATAAACAACAAATGGTTGTGCCACCATTCAGAGGGATCTTTAGAGTCTGGATAAATGGGCTGAGCAGGAATGAAGCTCAGCAAAGGGTAGTGCAGAGTCCTGCTCTTGGCAAGGAGCAGCCTCAGGCACCAGGGACTGACAAAGCAAAGCATCTTCCAAACAAGGCCCTGGATGTCCTGCTGGACACAAAGTTGACCACAAATCAGCAATGTGCCATTTTGGCCAAAGTGGCCACCAGCCCCAGGTTGAGGCAAGGATTGCCCCTCTCTGCTCAGCCTTTGAGAGATGTGTGGGGGCTGCACCCAGCTCTGGGTTCCCAAGTACAAGGAACCATTTAGTTTAAACCATTACCACTTGTCCTATTGCAAAAGGCCCTACTAAACATTTTTGTCCCTCAACTCTTTCAGCCTTTCCCTAAAAGAGAGGTCTTCCATTCCTCCAGTAACTTGTGTGGCCTTCCTCTGGTCCCACTCCAACAGCTCCATGTCTTTTCTGTGCTGAGGGAGCTGAGCACTGAGTTCCACAAAATGAAATAAGGAAATTCCATTTAAATATGAGACGGACACACTGTAAGGGCAGTGAAGCACTGGCAGATTGGGAGGAGAGGGTGTGGAACCTCCATCCTTGGGGATGCTCCCTTTCTGTCTGTGCTCCTGCTGCCTCCTTGTAGCAATTTGCAGTGGTACAGCAGGTGGAAAAAAGGGTGGGGTGACATCAGTGTGAACCAGATTCCAGGGGAGCTGTGTGCAGAAATGCTTTATCAATGCATTATCTCTAGTTGCATTCCACTATGTGGAGGGAATTGCTGGTCCTGCCAGTCCTGTGGAGCCACAGCTGTAACAAGGAGCATTTAGTTACATTGTTAGGAAGATGAAGGTTGCCTTTATGATTGCAGGCTCTTGGCTGTGAGCATTTAATTAATGTAATTGTGACCTGACTTTCAGACTGGTCATTTAAAAGCTTCTAGTTGTTTGTTCCCTGTGTGATGTAAGGATCAGCCTGGATGCATGATCTGGGAAAATGCTGGGTGTCATTTTATATGTATTTATGATCTGTTAAAAGCATCCTGATCATATTAAAATCATTCAGTGATTATTTCTACTCAAAAGTTACTACAGCAGTTTCTTTGAGCTCCAAGGTGGGAGAAGAGTATTAAAAGCCTGCACTGATGCTGTTTAAGAAGTTGCTTCTTTTCTATGACTCATTGGCAATATATTGGTATTTTTTAATGATCTGGTATTTCTTTAGTTAGAAAACCAAAATGTCAGTGTTAAACTAATGAAGGGATCCAGTTTTTAAATTTAATGTGCCTTTATGCAAGGACTGATGGAGTCTGTAGCTGGCCAGTTTGATCAGGGAGGAAAAGCCCCTGGGGTAATGTCTTGAGGTGGGCACCTGAAAGGCTGCCAAAAAGCAGTTATGGAAACCAAGTTTGTACATCTCTAGATCATTGGAAATTTTAACCTAAAACAGTGTAGTATTAATTCTGAATATTAAAAATCTTTGCATGTGTGTTCTGTGTGTCTGCAGCTTTTTATTGTTGTAGTCTGTCAGGTTTTTCTGCATTTTCCTTCATGGTGCAATGACAGATAACTGGCTTGGTGATGGACATGCAGGTAAGTGTGGTGCAGTTTCTCAGATAATAATTTTACACAACTTTATGACTGCTTGATGACTTTATAGAGAGCATTATTGACTTAACTGCAGAACATAGTTAAGCTAGGCTGTTGAGATTCTATCAGAATGGACTGCTGTGTGTGTATTGTTAATTTTTCAGATTGGGTTAGCCTCAGCTGAAGGCACAAGCTTGGATCTAACCTAGTTAGGGAGCCAGGAAGTACAAATGGTGTCTTTGTGCAGTCAGGAAGTGCTTAGACTTCTACTAAAATGGACACAAGATGTCACCTATGCACTATTTATTTTAATGAATGTGGATCTGCTCTCTTATTTTTCTATTTAAAAAATGATTCTTGTGTTTATTGATCTTCTCAAATTTAGTTCAGTATGCCTTTTACTTGCCAACAGAAGATTTTTTTGGTGAAAAATACAGCTTCAGTTTGAGACCAGAACTGTGAACTACAAAATCCTCACAGGAATGATTAAGATAGTGGTCTTCAGAACTGGTTTCAGTGAAATAATTCTTATCTCCTCAAATACTAAGGGTGAAAATTGGGAAGTGTGTTTTGGACACAACAGAGTGTCAGATAACTGCATGTCTTCAGTCTGCCTCTGCTGTTCTCATCTTCATCTGTCTCCAGCACCCAAAGAATGCGCCAGTATCTGTAGTATTCCATACAGAATTATTATTAGCATTTATCAGATCACTTCTCTAGCTCCCTGGTAGACAAAACCAGTGATCATGCATCTCTGGTCTGGAGTGAATTGTGTCAAGGGCTGTCCATAACTTTATACTTACACTTTTCTGTGGGGAGGATACCACAAATTTTTGAAAAGCAGGCTGGAGTTACCCACACATTATACAAATTTCATACTGATTGTGTTGATTTGTATATTTTTAAAGAGGTGCTTATTTTTTTTATCTGCATACAATGTATTGATTAAAGAAGAATCAGGTTTTTGATAAAAAAGTGTGTTTTTTCTTAAAAATAAGAGGATTTTTACTTGTTTTGAAGTTCAAAACACAGAGTAGGATAGCTAGGCCTCTATTCCTAAATCAAATGTGTTCAGATATTAGATATTGCTTTAAGTAAAATAAAAAGGGATTTAATAAAAGCTTTAAATAAGACTCTTGTGTGGGGAGTCAGAGTGCACCATGGGGCTTGTGAAAGGCTGGATTGATGTATAATAGCAGCACCCCTGAAGGGATGAGTTTTAACCTCTTTTCCAAACCCAGGAGCTGGGTACAGCATTCAGCCAGTTCCTGGGAATGTTGCTTGTGCAGCCTGCCCTCAGCTCAGAAATCACAGATGGCTAAAGCAGTGCTTTGTGTTTTTGCACTAGAAACAGTCAATGAGCTAATGCAGAGTCAATGTAGAGAAGTGTTTGAAACAACCCCTCAGCTCCTGGTGTGGAGCACAGGTCACTCCCAGCTCTCCCAAGGCAGGTGATGCCCTGCAGTGGGGATTGAGGGGAGCACCTACCTTCCCTGTGGGGCTGTCAGGAGGATGGGGACAGAGGTGGCAGCTGGGTGGGTAAAACTGCATCTGGCACATTTGGGGGTGTTTGGGTTGGTGCCCTGAAGGGATTGTGGCACAGGGCTCCCTGCTGGAGGTGGGGGTAGAGCAGAGCTCCCTGCAGCTGCTCCTTCCCTTGGCACAGGTTGGAGCCCTTTGCTTTGGCATGGTCCTGCAAAGGACAGTGAGCAAGTAGGTTCTCCCCCTTCACTTTCTCAATAGTTTTTGAACAGATGCAGGGCATGTATTGGATAAGATTCTGGGGCAATCTGAAAGGACTTTAGTGAGGTACCATCCTTACAAACCACTTTTGTAACACAGCTCCTCCTGCCCAACTTTCATGTGCTTCTGTGAAAATAATGGTAACTTTGTCTTTTTTAAACATTGCAGTTGCTGATGATTCCACTCATCATGTCAGTACTTTATGTGTGGGCCCAGCTGAACAGAGACATGATTGTGTCATTTTGGTTTGGAACAAGATTTAAGGTATGTCAAACAGTGTATTGGAAAGATTTCTGGGTGAGGGGCAAAATAGAAATATTTTCTCTTATAAAAAGTATCTTGTACTGTCACAGAGAATACTTCTTGAGATGCAGCAAAGACAAAGTTCATAGTCTTCCATGTGGTATCACTCAGTGTGTCTCTGCTGAAAAGATGTCCTGACAATTCATTGTTCCGAAAAAAAAGAAAACATTTAGCCTGGATAAAAGCTGAATGTAGTGACAGAATGTTGGTATTTTAAATTGGTTTGTTTTTTTTTTTCTGTGTGACCTTGGCTGTTTCTGTCAGATCTTGTAGAGAAGGCTCTTTTGAGAATTTCTAGACCTTTGCAAAATCAAAAACTTTAGGACTTTGTTCCAGAGGCAAACTTGCTGTGGAACATAGAGTTCAAAAGGCACATTTGCTTATAATAGCTGAATGAGCACATTTTGTCTAAAAATGTTAGTGGTTGCTCAGTTTGGACTGACCTTTTTAGGTTGAATCTGCTTAAGTTAATAGATCAGGACCAGTGTAATGCCTAAAGCATTGAGATTATGATCATGCTTATTAGTGCAGTGGGAAGTTGAGAGCAGGTTTACATCCTTAACTTGTACTTAATCTCTCCACTGCATTCTTTTCCAGGCCTGTTACCTTCCATGGGTTATTCTGGGATTCAACTACATCATTGGTGGATCGTATGTATTTACTTCTATGGCAATTTGAAGTTGTAAAAGCTTTTACAGCTATTTAACTTGCTGCTGAATTTAGGAGTGATATTAAAATAAGAAGGTTAAAGCTGTGTAATCTGACTGATAATGCTCAGTGTCACATGGTGGTCATTTAAGATAAAAGCAGAGGAGATGTGCATGTGAGAACTAGAGAATAGAATGGAGGTGAGGGGAGAGCAATGAGAGTTTGGTGTATTTTCTGTTAACTCCATGCATTGGGCCTTCTCCATACTAAGAAGGTAACACACTCTAAAATAAGATGTCATCCCCTGGAACCAGCCTTTATTACTGGTTTTAGAAACAAGTTTAGCTTGAATCTGATAGTGCTGTTACTTCTTTCCCTCACAGACTTGTCCAACCTGATCTTATTTTTTTCAGTTTGTTAAACAAGGGAAAAAGGCAATGAGCCCACAATGTGCCATATTAGCACTTGTTGAATTTTTTGCTCTCTTGTTTTTTTGGGTTTTTTTGACTAAACCCCTTGATGCAGAAATCCCCTCTGTGCACAGTGTGGGCCCCCTCACTGGGGCTCTGCATTGACTGGGGCCTCTTGGTGCCGCTGTAGCATAATTAGTGACAACAACAAGTTTGTGGTTGAGTTATAAAAGGAGGAGATAATACAGCAAAACCAAATTCCCTTTTCTGGCTGTGCCTCCTACTGACTCATCTGTCACTTGTGAAAACTGCCTGCTCTTAGCTACCTGCTGTTTTTATGCATGACAGAAGATACTCAAGGGCCTCGAGTCAGCAGTGCTTTCACAAAACTGGGAACAAAACAGTACAGTACAGCAGGAGACAGGCTGTCCAGTGAAAGCAGCAGTAACTTCTCTGGCTCTGCAGATGATTATTTTGGGCACTAATCGCTATACGGTCCAATTCCCCAATGTAAACAAGTATTTAATTGTGTTTTCAATACAGAATGTAGAGAAGGCTGGGAAGGGAGGGTGGAACAGACTATTGATGTGTTAGCACAGGAGGTTGGCCCTTCTAAAGAAGTGGCTGCAAAATGCTGAGGGAGGGGAAATTTTCTGTGTGTCACAACCCTGGCAAGGCCTGGTGGCAGGTGAACAGAAGATTGTCACTCATTTATTTTCATAGAAGACAGCATGTGAAACCATTCTTTCTTTTGCTTTACAGAGTCATCAATGAGCTGATAGGAAATCTGGTTGGACACCTGTATTTCTTCTTAATGTTTAAATATCCAATGGATTTGGGAGGAAGGAATTTTCTGTCCACACCTCAGTTCCTGTAAGCTGACTTCATTCTTTACATCACTATTTGTTTAGTCCAATTTTTTGTATAGTTCATCAGACATGTTTATGGTGGGATTGTAAAATGTAAAATACTTTGCCAAGTCAACCTTCTACAGACTCTCATACTGACTGAGCTGGTGAGTCATAAAAAATATTGAGTTTCTTGTAAATGGCCCATATGAGAGTTCTTTGTTGCCATTTGGGTTGTCTTATGCCTTTACCCACTCTTAGGAATGAGAATAAATGTCATAGCTCTGCTGTTGAATTGAGCTGCAGTAAAGAGAACTCCCTAACAATTATCAGATGGTATATAAAAGAAATTTTATCCTGTAAATGATCTGTTTCTGTATCCCCATGTATTGTTATAGTAGCTACCAGTTCAGCAATGTTTGACAATAATAATCAGTTGTAGACTTGTGCAGGGCTATAAATGATTCTCCTTTGCAGTCTGTATCAGTCACCCTCACTGGGACTGCAAGTCTTGGTTTTTGAGGTGCTTTTTCTTGAGGTATGTTTATTGTTCCGGCAATGAAATATTATGATCAGAAGCCAAAGTTTATAGTTCAGTTGTCCTTGTCCACATAGTTTTGGGCTGCAAATACTCCTCTATCAAACTTTAGTCAGCAACTCAGTTAACCCTTTTTGTAGCATAAAGTGTTGAATTACAGTTATACTTCCTGTACAAGTTTCAATGAATAGGGGAGCTTTATATTCTGATTCTGTGCTTGCAAGCCCATCTGGTAAACCTAATTTTCCATAGATTAGAAGACAAGGTTGTTTTTAAAAATGTCTTTAAAGGTGGTAACAGCTCTGAAAGTGCCCTCAGTATTGTTGGTTCTGTGCAATTCTCCTGTTACCGTGCACATTTCAGAGATGGAAGTTTCCCAGTATTTCCATTTGTCAGTGTGCTGAGGGTTTACATTTGGAAAGAATTCTCTGAAACTCTACTGGGAAAAGCCAGTTTTATTACAACGTGTGTCAGCTAAGAGGAAGTGCATGGAAAAGTAGAAAAGCACAGCCTTGGCATTTCCCTGCAAGGTCCTGCTGTTTGTCTAACTCCTCCTGCTCTGCTCTGTCCTAGTTACCGCTGGCTGCCAAACAGGAGGGGAGGAGTGTCGGGCTTTGGTGTCCCTCCTGCCAGCATGAGAAGGGCTGCAGAGGATCAGCAGGGTGGTGGAAGACACAACTGGGGCCAAGGTTTCCGGCTAGGGGACCAGTGAGGAGCTCCTGCCCTTGGAAATCAGCAACTCTTCGGTGTCAATTGGACGTGGAACCGACCGCTCCTCTGCAGAGCGTGCTTAAGAACTGAGCTCTCTGCAGTACTCTTGGATTCAACTGATTAGAAAGAATGTTTCTGGTTCAAGAGCAAATTAAAAAGTCCAGAAGGAAAACATGTAGATCTTGCTCCAGGTTAGCCAGTAGTGTCCAGTGTGATTCTGCCATTAAAAATAAGCCTTCTTTATACAGTATTGTCTGTCACAACAGGATCCATTGGCTGTCCCGTACCATGATGTGATGGAACAAGCCAGTGGTATTCTATCTTGCCTGGTATGTTAAAAGCTTTGTTGACCACAGTAAAGTAAGAATCTAGTGTGAGGCAGATGTCTCAAACAAGCCCCCAAGTTTAGGAAGCTGACTTTTTCCATAGCTGTGCTTAAGTCCCAGGGTCTTTGGAGACATTATTTAAATGATATCTCTCTGATGCATTCATAAAGCAAATTGCAAATGTTTCATTTCTGTTATTAAGCTGTGTTCTGAGCAGAGCTGTTTCTTGCCATGCAGCATTTGTCCTACCTGCTACATCATGGGCTGGGCAAGGCTAAGGGTTAGAGGGCTTTTGTTTGAAATGGCAATAACAGATACTCACAGAATTGAAATCTCCAAACTCTTCGTGGCATGTTACAAAGCTTGTTCTGGTCAAACTGAAGTCTGGTATGTTTTTTCAACCCCCTCCAAATCTGTGAATTCTTGGCTTCAAGGTTTCTCTTTTGATTGCCAAATTGGGTAGCATAAATACTGCTTAAACTAGAAAATGTAACATTGTTGTGGTTAAGGGCACCGACTGCAGCATTGTTTAACAGAATCTTCAGCTTTATCTTAAAAGCTTTAAGATGTCTAGGAATAAAAGCTGGAAATAATCATTTGCAGGGTGAAGATACAATATAACAGGTTACTGCAGGACTGTGTCAAATAAGAAATTGCATACACTGTTTATTAGCATCTGTACTATTTTTGTTAAAAACGTTTGACATGGAAAAGGGAATGATTCTGTACAGTAGTTTTCCTTGCACTGGGTTCCCATGGGCAGAGCATGTGGCTAAGATCCAGGAAGCTGTAATGCCAGCTTGTTACTGACTCACTGCATGCTCTTCGCAAACTTCTTACTTATCTCAGTTTTCCCAGCAGTAAGGAGGACTCGTGCATGTCTCACAGCATTCTTACAAGACAGCTGTCCCTGACTCCGTAGCTGGGAGCTGCTAGTGAGCAAGTAAGGCTTAGGTTTACATAAATAAATCCAACACTTAGCTAGGAACACAGTTACTCTAACCTTAACCAAGACTAAGTCAGAATGTAGTTGCTCACTTTTTGTTCTGTAGTCAGAGGAGGAAAAGCATTGTCACTAGGATGAAATTTCAAGTCTGATGAATTGTCCTTTAGCATTTGTCTATTTTTTTACTGGGTAAGTGGGGCACAGAAAGCTGTTCTGCCCCAACTTGGGTATCTCAGGTAATTCTAAGTAGGTGAAATGAATCTGGGCTGATACATTTTTATTACTACTTTGTTTCTTCACTAAACTTGGGTTCTGAAGGTGTAAAAACTTGTAAATACTAAGTGATGCAAAGGTGAGTGGAAAATAAGCAGTTAGACTGGAAATTAAAAAGAAATGCATGGTCCATGTCTTCACTGCAACTCAGTTAAGTTGATTTGGCTCATGGAGAATTGTAGAAACCTGGTAAGGATTATACTGTGTGCTTAAGTTTTACAGGAACTTGGAGTTTAGAAATCACCTGCCATTTTTGTCTGTTTGGTGATGAGTTTTAAAGATGCTCTGGTCTCTTTCTTTGTGTAAAATGGTAGGTAGAAAAGAGGGGTGCAATGTTGTAAATACAGATTTATCCTTGACCAACAGCTGTTATTTGATGTGGACTGGACTAGTCTGAGAATCATCATTTTGAGAGGAGTCTTTTTAGTCATAGGAATTTCACAGTCCCCAAAGCTTTTGTCTTCATTTTGAGTCAGGACCCAACTTTTAAGTGAAGATGCAATAGTGACTCAGTTAAACCCCTGGCACACTCAAACTGCAGAATATCTCTGTACAGAGGGCCCAAAGGAAGGCTTCAGTGAGAGAAAGCTCAGCAAAAGGCATTGTCCTGGCCCACTGCACTGCTGGGGTCTTGCTTTCTAGTATGTCCTCCTTCTCTAAATTAAGAGGAAAAGGTTTGCAAGGAAAATAGACTTCTTATAAACCTTGATTAGTTTCTGAGCTGATTCAGGTCAATTTCTTTTGTTTATGGAAAGTTCACTTCAGAATTCCATATTACAAGCTCAGTTTGTTTGTTTCTCAGTTTGTCACTTGACCTGAACTGCTGTTTGTCCTCCCACACACATTAATAATGGCAGTCTCTTGTTAAAATGAGTACCTCCTTTCTTATTTTGTACAGATAATTTCCCTTTTTGTAATCAATTTTTGTTGGCAAAGTTTTAAATTAAAATTTTAATCTCTGTTACTGTCTTTGTTTTGCTAAATCATATTTCAGCTTAAGACAAGCCTTGTGATCTGCAGATCCATGGGTGTTGTCTGAGAGCTGCACTGTGACACCATCTCCTGCTGTTGATAAAAGTACTCACAAAAAGGACCTGCTTTTAGGTGGGAGTCTTGTCTTCTCTGATCAGTTGCAAAATCATAAAGGGATTTTTTTTGTCTCAGTTTACACCACGAGGTTTGACAGACTGTGTCCTTCTGGGCTATTACCATTTTACAGCTGTTTTTATATACTTGATTATCAGTTCTTTGTCATCTGGGAGAAAGCATCCTTCTACATACCCTCAAACTTTGTGGGAGTGATACAGATCACTTACTTTTTCGGAGGTAAGCTTGCAATTCTGCAGTTCCCTCTCTGTCCAGACTGACGTGCACAGCTGCCAGAACTCCTTCTGAGGCTCTTGGCTGATTTGGTGATGGACACACTGGGCATCCTCTGACTCTTCAGCTTTCATCTGACTGCACTTTTCCTGCTTGTTACCATAGTGGCTTCAAGGAAAACCATGGACTTGGTACATAAAGCACTGTATGAATTAGTTGTGCTCCTTGTCTTGGACAGGCTGGGTCCATACTGAGTAAAGAGCATGACAAGTGTGTGCCTTTTGATTTTGCTCCAGCTGCATAAAGAGTCAGCAGAAGAGCCAAGACTATGAAATCAAATGTTTCATCTGTCATTCCTGTCACTTCATCTTGGCAACAGCTCCTCTCTCAGCACAGCTCAGTGATGTGGTGTTCCAGTGACTTAATAAGAAATTATCTGTTGTCATCCAGTGGTTGCACTAAGAAAACTGAGAGCCTTTCATTTTCAGGGGAGCATGTTGTTTGCACTGCAACATGAGATTCTTTCTGTGTTTATGTATCCCTGTGTACCTTATCAGGGAGGAAGATTGCTTTGCCTTGGTGCTTCAGGTCGTGAGCTGGAGAGATACACTCCAGTTTACAGTTTGAAGCTTCTGATACAAGAAGTCACTTTGTAATGACTTTGTTATCCTGTTCTGCATCCATTAATGAAGATGATTCATCCTCTCCCTTGTTCTGTGCTAGACTTAGGATGATGGATCCATCTGTACTTGTATAGTATGACAGAGCACTGATTTTGGTGAAGATGTTCTTAGCATTGCTATTGCCTGCACTAGTAAATGGATTTTCTTGTTCTAAGCATCCCTAGATACTTATTTTGCCATGGGTGATAGTAACAGTGTGAAGTTCAAAACTGAGTCTGTTGTCATGGTTTGATTAATTAAGCTAAATACTGTAATATGTGCATATTAAGCAGAAGTACTTACATCTGCAAGGTGATGATGTGCTGTTCTCTAGAATTGAAAAGATGAGAACACTTCAGCTGCTTGTGTTTTTCAAGCACACTGTTCAGGTGATGAAAGGAATTCCATTTGCAGCCATGGCTCACCCTTTCATCATCTGGAACAGGATCTAGGAGTGATTTCACTACTTGGGAGCACAAGTGCATGAAAGAGCTGTGGGATGCTGGCAAGGCCCGTGCAGAATCTTGTTGATGTTGATTGGGGGGGAGGGGGAAAGTGATGATGAAACTCTAATTCTGGTGCTTCATTTTTTTTTAAATTTTGCTCCCTCTCCAAAAAGCAAAGCACTTCCAAAATGCCAGTAGAATCAAATCAGATTTTAAGGCCACGTTTCTCTGACTGCCAGACTAATCCTAGCCCTTTGTGATGAGCATCATTGCCACTGGGGGTAATGTTCAACATCAAAACCACTGGAAGTTATCCTCTTGCATCTGAATGTTTACAATTATTTCTTAAAAGGATAGGTGTGTTTAGTCCTTGGACTGGGTGTGGACTAAAGGACAGCAGGTGGATCTGTCTATTAATGGTTTCATTGACTTTCATTTGCCCCTGGAGTTGTGAGGATGCCTGTGCCAACCCTTGAGCTTGTCAAGCTGCCTGGCCTCTTCACACTACAGAGTTCAGGTCACCTTGTGGCATTGAGTTAAATGTAGGAAGTTTCTTTGCAGTTTGTTTCCCTTTGGTTTCAAGTTGGTATATCAGTTAACCCTCCCTAATGAACCTGGGCTAGTTTGTAGTTAACCCTAAGAGACCCCTCAGTCTGTTTTAGAATCAGAGCTCCCTCACCTGCTCCATCTGGAAAGGCTTTTTAAGCACTTGTCTTCCTTAAGAGTGACTGGCCTGGCTCTGCTCAGTGCTGCTGCTGTGAGAGCTGCCCTGGGCCCTGGGTGTGGAGAGGGCACAGGAAAGGTTGGGCTGCAGGGCTGCTGCCTCCTCCTGCACAGTGTGGTTCCTGTAGAACAGAGGGTCTTGGATCAGTGCAATCCAACTGCTTCAGCTCCTGGTGCTGCTGCAGGTGTGCTCATAGCCCTAGGCTGTGGGGAACAGGTTCTGTGATGCAGAAATGCAATTTGGGTCACATGGTGGCTTCTTTTTATTTTTTGGGAAAGCAGTATCCTGTTGGTGTATGAATGAGGTAGAGAAGCCTAAGGTACTGTTTCTCAAGTGAAAAAATATTTTTAATCAGGTAGGGATCTGAAGTTGCTGAGAAGTTGTGTTTTAAACTGGACTTGAAAATGGTAAAGAAAAACATTAATTAGGGATTGTATTCATTGATCAAAGAATATCTTTCAGAGTGCTTTTTTATCTGCCATACGGGCTCAGAAAGTGCAGTCTCCACTCAGACTGCAAAGAAAAGCAACACCTGTCTCTGTCCTCCTCTGCTGAATCCTTAACCCCACAGAAGGAGGAGAGCAAAGGGAGACCCTGCTCAGTGTTTATTGGTACCCCCAGCTGGTCTCAGGGATGTGCCTTTGGCTGGAAGGGAGCCTTGATTGTGTGCCTGTTACAGCCCTTACTTGTCTGTTTAAGCAATTGTCCATTGACTGAACTGCCTGTGCTTACTGCTATAAGAATTTAAGCAAGTGCAAAAAGAAAATGGCATGTGTGTGCCTTGGGCATTGGCCTTACTTGCTTTAGGGGTTTAAGCTAAGGAGTTAACTTTAACTAATGTTAATGTTTTGGTATTTTCACTCTAGAGCTTTTACATACAGAATAATTTTCTTAAAATCTGATTCAAAGCTGAGCTGCTAGAGGGTTTGGGGTTTTGAATGTATAAATGTCTAGGAAAGTTAATCTTGTCATGTTTTCTGTTCTGTCTCGCTTTTCTTCCCCAAGGTATGTAAGATCAAAATCCAATTAATGTTGGAAGGGGAAGGCAAAGATTCTGAGGCAGCTTCAAGAAGCTTGAAGACCCCAAAGCTTTATGCAGCTTATGGCATAAAGAGCTTTTATTTTTCTTTTGGCCTTTGTGTTGTGTAAATTCAGAAACCGGACTACATCTTTAGGGCCTGATGTTCTTAGAAGAACCTGGTCAGGATCTACAAGCAGGAGTGCAAAAGTTTTATAAAAGTTGAAACTTCTGCTGTAATTAGAAGTGCTTTGATTCATCCCGCACAGCAATATTTGGGTTTTTTCTACTCTACAGCTCTGTCTTAGCAATATTCAAACTGAAGTGCAGCCCTTGCTCATTCCCAGGGACAGTTCCTCTCTAGCTGCATCTGCTTTGGCAGTACAGGATGAGCACAGCAAGGGCAGGGGCTCCCCAGGGAGAGCAGCATTCCTCAGCGTGCCAAAAACATCCACAGGGGCTAAGAGGAAGAGTGGGAGGTGTGAGCTGGCAGTAAGCTTGATTTATTTGACTTTCCTTAACTGGTGGGGCTGTACAACCCTTGAGAGAATAGGACAGACAACGATGAGGGAATGGCCATATCATTCTGAGGAGTCCTGGTTTGGCACCTCTTGGGTACAACCTTTCCCAGGGCATGCCAGGGAAGCCTCTTGAGATGGAAACTGCTGTTCCTGAAGGCTGTGGAAGGGAAGGCTCCTAATGTGAAAATAAAGGGGCAGAGCCTTGGTGTGTGCAGAAGGGAGGTTCTTAGCTGAGATCAGACCTGTGCGTGCCTGTAACATGTACAGGCTTCACTGGAACAGCAGTGCAAAGAAATTGTGTGGGGGGAGGTGGGGTTGCAACATGAGTGTATTTTATTTGGGTGATACTGATGAAAATGAAATGCTTCAGGTTTTTATTTCTAAAATGACATTTCAGTTATCTTAGGAGGTATAATGGGTTTTCTG